CATGTATTTGACACTAGCTGTGCTGATTAAAACATTTGTTCTACTATCAGTGTTAGATATGGGTTAATTTATTAAGTTTAAATGTAAGTCCACTTGCATATAATTTTAATTCTCTTTTCAATCCAAGGATATAAGCTTTCTCTAGCACACAGAAGGTCAACCACTGAAAAAATTAAGAAAATTAATAATATATTTGTTCTGCTTCATAATGATCACTTCAACTAAAACAAACAGAAGCAGTGAATTCTCACAGTCATTACCTGCCTACTTACAATATCCTGAGCAAAATGGTAAATGGTAAATTTTCCCAATATCCTAATGGGAAAATGGTAAATGACCACCCATTAACCAGAATATTCCTGTGCAAAAGAACAACGAGGTCTCACCACCACTATATCTAGCATCAGTGGGTTATTTTTATCGAGACAGTTCTCGAACAGTAACAGCAGCAGTTTGTGTTCTGAAAGGTAGCACTGACTCTTTTGTAGATCCAGTAAATTTCAGAGTAGTAGAAAAGACAGTACAATTTCAATAGTGCTCTGAATTGGCCAACTTACTCAACCTACATCACCTGCAAAATCTACCACCACCACTAACAGAAAGAAATGAAAACTGCTTCCTAGTGCTCCAACTGTTAAATATGCACTCTGCTTTTGATAATGAGACTTGACAAAAACTGGTGAGAGTTAAGCAACAAGGCTGTCACTCAGTTTTAAAGAATCCTGATATAAAGTCACACTGTGACTTCTATACTCAAAACAAGATGAGATTAAAAATAGACTTGTGGTCTTATTAATAACCTGCTACAAAACAGTTTAACACTTAAGATAAAAAAGCCACTCAGCAAATAAAATATGAAGAATGAATTCTGGACAACAATGTTATTTTTACACTTTCTGCACACTGTGCTAGATGGTGTAACCAGAATCTTACCTGACTACAAAAACATTGCATACACCCTCTCTCAAAGTCTCTAATTTAATAGGTCATTTCAAAACACTTTCAAAGCACATGGAAATATTACCCTGCAAACTTAGGATTCTCTGCTCTTGACATGCTGTATCGATGAACTGAAAAGAGCAATAACATTTAAGGTGGCTGAATTCTCATTATGTAAAACAAGCTGCATTCTCCTGCTCTACCCACAACATATTTCTATATGTGGAACATGGTAAGAATTGCACTCTGTGCCTTACTGCTCTAAGATTTCAAATATAATTTCCCTTTAAAAACACACATGTCCTTAAAGGTGTTTTCAAACTGAAATAACATGCATGATTAATAGTTATTCACACATCAAGGAATATTTCTTTCCTCCTGTATATTGATTGCACCAGACATATTGAAAGCCTATGTATCCAAGATATATACAGCACGCTAGAAAATACTGAAAACCTAAATTCAGAAGAAGGAAAAAAAAAACAAACCCAAAACATAAAAAACCAGCTTTTAGCTTAGGAACAGTATTTTTACACAGCTGTAGAACATTATCTGACAAAGAACCTATTTGCAGGTTTGCTCTAATTTAACAAATTACCACAGCTTCCCAACCCTGCCTTCCTGCATTTACATACCATGCATTATGCACAAAAAAAGGAATATACAAATAGAGATCCCTTCAGCCTGTCTAGCCTGTCATCAAAACCAGCAGAGAATTTTTCATTGATAAAAACAGAGAATGGAAGAAATCAGACCAACCTTCACAATGTACGTCACACCAGGTCCCAGGATCTTCTCACTCGAGTGCAGCCATCCTCGAGAGGGTTTATTGACAAAGCTGCTACTTTGATTCCAGTCTTCACCTCCTGGGTGCATTTCCTCTGACTGTGGTTTTTTCCCCATACTCATCTTGCTCACGTCCTGCTGAGAACACGAAGTGGCAGAGACAAGGTTACATGTGTTGTCTGAAGCCCCTGCTGCTGAGCTGGAAGCACTCGAGCTTCCCTGCAACTTGGAGACAGCAAGCTCCTTTACTGCAGAGGAGAGGGTTTTGATACCCAAAAGGCTGCCCGTGTTAGAGAGTTTCAAGTGGGACACTTTATGGATGAGGGTACACAGGGTGGTGGGTCCATCTTCTTGGTCCTTGCGGAGAACGTCTGGCGAGACCAGGTACGAAGGTGCTGTTGAAGTCGTTGCAACTGCTGAGACCTTGCTGTTCATGGACAAATTGTGAATAAGATCATCAACTGATGTCACTGAATCATTCCTGAAGCGGTTATACTTGGTACGTTGAAGCATGCCCTTCTATCTGGTTTCCTGCATATGTTCTGGCAAATCTGATGCCAATGCAGGAGATGCCTGTGCTAACATAGCAGGCGATTCATAACAACACGGACGGATAACAAGATCTTGGGGTAAAAATGAAAAGAGTATAAGGAAGAATAAAAAAATATATATTTTTAAGAAATTTCTTATGGTTCTCCGTTAAGGTTGGGTGAAGTAACAGTTTTCTGTGACAGAGATCCCAGTCCTGCTTAGAGCTGCCAACTCGCTCACAGCAAAAGCATGACTCACACAAATGAGAAGGACCCTTTTCAACAAAAGGCTCAGTGAACACTGCAAATCACTTCCTGTAGAAAGAAAAAAAAAAAAAGAAAAAGAAAAAAAACCATCCACCCACTTACAGCACACTAGCACCAATCAATTCTCAAATTTCCTTTTCCTCTTTTCCTATCTTCTCAAACAGATATTTCCTTCCAATCTTTAATTCCTGCCCCCCC